TTCTATAGAGTTCTTGCACTGCTGGGTTTAATTATACATATATTACTGCATCAGTATAATGTGGGATAGAGGTGGTCATTCTGCGGCTTTTCTGAGGTCTTCTGGCAGAAATTTGGGTTGATATAGTAGTCGCCAGGCTGTTAGAGTAATAGGCACACTGCCGTTCTTAACAATAGGTTCTCTTTCAGGTTTAAGGCTGATGAGGCTGCTGGTAATTCAAAGACAGTGATTCCACATTAATAAAGCAGGTAGTGAGGATGCCAGTGAGGGCAGTAACTAAGCTTGAAAATAAAAACTGCATGTACATATGGCTTATTAGTAGAACACAACAGCAATTGACAAGTTGCCCCAAATCGTCACTGATGAGAACTTTTCTAACGGGCCTGATGGATCTTTTAGCATCTTCTTCCTCCAGACTTTCGGAACTTGGTTTCTTATTTGTCTTTATGACAGTTGTTATCCGTGTCCTGGACACGTTTGAGTGGACTGGCTTTTAAAACAATCTCCCAAAAAAGTCTTGAATTCGCTTTTTCTTACATTCCACTTAAAACTGCAGTTAATTCTGCTCCCTTTGCATGTTTTCCTGCAACGTTATTTTCTTTTCCCCCAACTTTCCGGTAGTGTGCTTGGATCCAGCATTCTGTGGACGGCTAGTTTCCTTGGCAATCGTCTTTGGCATATTCAGATCATTGAGGATCGGGTCATTCAAGATCTGCTGGAACTGTACCATAACAGCATAACATTTCTGAATTAAAAATCATTATTTTGTCAGTTTTAATTTTTAAAATTGTATTTTTAGGTTTTACCTGCTGTAAGACTTAATTATCAAAATGAACAGGAATAAAATCTTAGAGTATATCTGCCTGCCTAAACCAAAGCTCAAAACACTCAGTTTCACAAGTGCACCTGAAAGTGACTCAAACAAAACCTTCACTTCTACAAAACATGTTTGAAGTTAAGCTTTTGAATTGAACTACTGTAATAAATTAACCCTTTGATGATCTTATTTATTAAGCAACACCTTTGGCCCGCTGTGTCCAACACCTGTTGTGAAGTTTTTAATGGTTTATTTGGATGTTTTCTGCAATGAAAATGCGCTTTTGCAGACGACAGCCAATAATATGCATCGAATTGCATCTATTTTATGTCTTAAGTCTTTACCAGCTACCAAAGGCCCGTTAAAGCAGCCGGGTTAGGCCTTCGCCATGATGACTGTCACTGGATGAGTTGTGCGGCTGAATGACTGGAAAGCTCAGTTTTTTGCCTCAGACATACCGTTCAACCATTTTTTCCACTGTGTTTCCTACATGAGTTCTACCCAAAGTTAACCTCGCATGTCATGTGATGGATTTTTTTTTTCTGCAGCGGTTTCTTGCTTCGGCATACTCGCTCTGCCATGAAACATCCGGAAAGCAGTCGCGCAGTGTCTCCCTCCTCAACCATGGAAACCTGTAGTTCCCTCAGCGTTGCTGAGGCGGCCTCCCTTTGAAACCTTTCTCTCACGGTTACATGCTGAAAACAGATCTATTTTATGGTGTTTAAATCTTAAGCTGCAAACTCTGAGGTCAAACCACCAACTTTTTTCACGCTTTTTGTTTAGGGATGCTTTCCAGAAACGGAAAAATCCTAAACTACTCCTCACTGTTGTAAAACGTAACACATGAAACCTTGTCATCCCTTCATGGTATCTTAGTAGCTGTTCCTGTTTGATGTTTTCTGTCTTGTTAGTTTGTGGTATAGCTGTAGTCATGCAAACACTCTTTAGTAAAAAAAAATAAAATCTAAAAAAAAAAAAAGAAAGAAACTCTGCTTACAAAGGCAATCATATTGCAGAAGATGATTTGAAAACCTAATCTCATTGGGTGTCAGTCATTTCCAGGTATGCAAATAAGAAAATAATCTTATTTGTCATTCTTATTCATGAAGCTCAAGCCCATGCATTCTCACAGCAAGAAGAAGCTAGAAAAAGATTGCTTAAAATATATATTTATTTTGAATAATTATTCAAACAACCTCTAATTTACACACACACACATATATACATATATTTTTTTTTAAAAACAGCAGCATTTAAAAGGGAAAAAGGCTGCTTCTTAGTTTTGGATTTATCACAGACAACGATTTCTCCCACAGTAATGTTTAGATAACTAATTTCCTTCATAGCAACGCAACAATAATTAGTTTTAGCCTTAAGCATACCAAGGTGCATTTAATAGATTCATGCTTCATTTATCTCATATTGGTGTGTATCATTCTATTAGCATTCATTTTTTGCTAGAGCAATATATTGAAACAAGTCTCTTTTTTAATTTTTAGTTGTTTGTCCTTCTCAGTGTGTGTGGAAGCATTAAAAATGTAGGTCCTCATTCAGCTTTGTTTTTCCGCTTGTTTTAAAATTATGCAAAATGACTTAAACCTCAGCAAATAGCTGTTTCCTTGTAGCCCTTTTGTTAATGAGGAAGATCGAGATTCAACCATCTTAAAACATGTTTTTTTATTGGGAATCATAAAAACGTTGCTACCAGGTATCAGCTGGGTTTTGTTTTGCCCAGTGTTCAGCTGATTGACTGCAGCAGGCAGGAATCGTTAGAACACCTTCGACTTGATGGAAATCTTTGTCCGTTTAACGTCAAATCCTACTGTCTGGCATCCACCATCGTGTGGTGTTAAATGACTTTCGATCAGGAGTTTATCATATATAACCCGCTCACTGTGGAGACGGTGTAGAATTTTAAATTGAACTGTGTCCTCAGAGCCTTATTTGTAAGGAATATTTTCCAATCTCTCCTTTGTTAAACAGTCATCGGTTTCTCCTCTTATTTACACCTAACCAATAATTCATGTATTACAAGTTGAATATTTGCTCATTATGACTTACTTAAATAGCTTAATTATCAATTACAGTAAATTAATTAAAGTACTAAAAGATTTTTCTTTTGCTTCAGATTTGCTGCTGCAGTTAATTATCCGATTAAGGCCTTTTTACACATACCACAGGCTTCATAAAAGTGAAGTGTAAATTTAGAAACTAAATTGTTGTACATGATTATAACGTAACGAGTGTTGTCCTCTTTTCATGCCGTGTGACTATTCCCTGCTCACCAACCCACAGGTAACAGTCTCAGGACCAGACAGTATCTTGTTTGAAATCAACGCTCGCCTTCAAAAGTTACCGAGCATCTCATTGTAAAAGGAGAGGCGTCTTTCGACTGTTGAAATCTACTTGTCCCTCTTCAAGTAATTTTTTTGATTGATCATATGGAATAAATTTACCGCTTTATACGAAGATTTCCAAAATCAGATTAATTTTGCAATGAATTTCCTCATTTGCAGTATTCAAATGATGATCAACACCGAAACTGGGTGTTCTTCAATTATGCAATTTGAGACACTGTCAGTTTGAAAAAAAATCTTATAATCTGTTGTTTAAACCATCTTTTGCTTGATAAACAAGTTATATTTCTCACATACAGTAATATGATAATATATTCTTCTGTGTGCTGGTTGACCTTGATGACCTATATTTAACTAGAGGAATCCAAAATTTAAGACCTTTGAAACCACAGGTTGACTGAAGATGGTCTGATTGTGTTTCCGTGTCCCACTTTAAATGGATCAACTATAAAGATACCATTGCTCTGTGTCTTAAAAGAGTGCATTTATTGTTGGAAGATGTTTGCTAATCTGAATCTGAGCTTTATATCTTACATATATATGTATGTACCGGTATATATCTATCTACCTAAATATATATGTCTATATATATCTATATAAATACGTATACATATATATATATAGATAGATATATATGTCTATATATATCTATATAAATACGTATATATATATATATATATATATTATATCATATGTATATTTACTTTTATTTATTTTAGTTATTTTATCTTTTTGTGCAGCACTTTGCAAACCTTGTGTTTATTTAAATCGTGCTATATAAATAAAGTGGATTGGATTGGATATATATCTTTAAATATGATACTGAGATGTTATTCATCATTTATGGGGGATTTTATCAAGTCGTTTTTATAGCAAACTTCTGTCGCTTTTATCTAGAGTTTCTGCAAAATGGATATTTGGTTTATATTATGATATGAAGGCCCATCATGGAGCTACAGCTGCATTTTTTAAACAGAGACTAACATTGACAAAGGCTAGGTGCATCTTATCTACTTGTTCTGGTCCTATGTTGCCTCTGAAGATCACAAATCTTAAACGATTAAAGTCTGTAGAAGACTTTCGACTTCTTCGCGGCTCTGAAATGCTGCAAAAAAAGAACAAGCGGCAAAGTCTCTTAACATTTTCTGGCTTTCTGAAGGAAAGCTCTTGTCAAGCACGCTCTTATTTTACTTTTAGCCTGCTTTTATCCCTTGGCAAGGAGTCTGCTTTCATTTAGGCGTGAGGAAAAGTTCAAGATCTTTCTACATCTTGATGCTGAACAGTATAGGAGCTGCAGAGGCTTCCTGCCCCTTTCAGCATTTCACTTAAAACTGTGAATAGCATGTTAGCATGTATTAAAGCGAAACCTTTACTCCAAAGTGCTCCGTAAAATATGTGAATGAATTGTATTATAATTATAAGATTAGACAAATCAAATTTTCATGTTTGAGCACATTTGTATTAACATTATAAAACCTTTCTCGAGGTAAATACTCTCATTTTAGTCTGTTTTTAAGAATTCTGTCATCCTGAAGGCCTTATGTGTAAATGTGTTTTTCAAAACCTTTAACAGATAATAAGTTGTGCCTTTTTTAGGAAGACCTGTTAGGTTTGCAGTTTCACTTGTGTTCTCATTTTTAAAAACACTTTTACGGCTTTTAGGAGATGTTATCGTGTCATCCTTTCTTCCATTACATGCAAAAAATTGTTCCTTTTATTCCACAAATAAGGTTGTTTAACCATGATGGCAGCTGGAAACGGAGCGTACACCAGTCAGATAGGCCGGGTTGTATCTTTTCTTTTTTCAACTCTTTTTTTTTTATTTGTTGTTTACAGCTTTCATCTTCTGTTCTGTTCCACACTTCCCGCCAGTCATTGCTGCTTTTCTGAAAGACGGAAGAAAGACAGACAGGCAAACGAAGACAGAAATAGAAGAAAAAATTAAAACCCAGAAAGAAACCAAAAAGTCCAAAAGTGAGCGTCTCGTTCCCCCTCCTCTGCTCCCGCAGGTTTTTACAGTGAATTTGAGAGAAAAGCAGAGAAACGTTTTCCCCCGTGCCGACTCCTCTGCACTCCCCCTTCCAACCTCTCACATCCTTTTCATTCACACATTTTTCATTCGGCTTTTTTCTCAGCGTTGGCCTGCTCATATAGATATAGCAGGATGTGCTGAAACACGACAGAAGGAGCATATTGAAAATCTTTCAGTTAGTTTATTATGCTAAGTAAATTTAATGACAGAATGATATGCAGAAATTAGCTTTTTTTGGTTCATTTTAGGTTACCGTGCAGCATCCGATTTGGTCTCCATATTTGGAAAATTTGATATAGAGACTCTGACACAATTGGTTTGGTGAACCAGTAAGGCGACATGCATCATGTGGATCAAATTCGACAGGCTGAAACAAGTCTTAAGTAAGATATGACGGAGGAGAGAAGGGGGGGGGGGCAAACCAGAACAAATCTAGATGAACATGTACAACGTTTCAGCTTCAAAAGATTCTATTTGCTGTCGTTGCAAAACATCTGCAGCAAAATTCAGGTGCACTGTCTGAACCGGCGCTAAAAACGCATTTGGTTTCACACATGCTCATGAAACCGGCTCAAACAACCTCTCCACTTATACCAAAAATTTGATCCGGAAACATACTTATAATGAAATTTCAGGTAAGGCCAGGTTTGGGCTTTTGACCCTCAGAGTTTCTATATCCTCTTTGCATAACAGAAGGTAGAATAGTCAGAAGACACTATCAAAACCACAAGTAATTATTTCCAAGGTGAAATATGCAAAAACGAATACATTTATCATTGAATAATGCAGATTTTTTATGGACAGGTGAAAAGTAAAAAGGAAAACTGTTCCTCAATATTACAAAACCAAGATAGATTGGTATTGTTATCTAAAGGCCAGGCATTAAGGGAGGTGAATGTTTTGATTGCTTCAATCGTCAACAGATTTCACAAGCAGACCCTTCTGTCAGACGCTCCACTATAACCACACAACAGCAGCAAATACAACCATGTTTGCTGTCAAGTTCTGACCAGGATTATTAAAATGAACGGTTGGAGAAATCTCTGCATTTGCCTCTTCATATGAATTTGTTATGACCCGGTATCGCTATCAAGGTCACCAGGATTCTAAAAGCTTAATGTTTCTTTTAATTGGTCCTACGATACAATAAGGCTTTAAATGAGATGCTGGATTGACCTGTGCTCCTTTCTTCTCCCTTGCTTACAAAGAAGCTAAAAGCAGCTGTTTTTTTCCAGTCATGGCGTGAAACTAAAGGAGCGCTTCAGTCTCATTAAGGTATCTGACCGTTAAAGCAGTCGACTGTGACCCCGATTCAAGGCAGAAAGGTTGGCAGGTTGTCCAGCTGATATCATCTTGTTAGTATCCCAGTGCTACTTAGAAAAAAAATCAGCATATCTAATATGTTTATTTCTCTTTCACTTTTAACCTTCTTGTGAATTTAATCAATGTTAATTTTTCACTTTGATTGAGTCTTCCACCTCCATGTCCATCTAACGGAGAGTAAACAAAAGCAATTTATTTTCAACAAGCTTCTGTTTGAGCTGATATCTGTCAGAGGTATTTAAGAATCTTTTTTAAATTAATATTTTGAGTACTTCTTATAAAGTCTTGTTTTGATTTCATAATTTCAGTTACAGAAAACACGCTGCTCTGATACTATAACTTTATTTATTTTGCACTTTTAGTCACCAAGAATACTTCAAAAAAACATCTTTTTATGCCTCTAATTTTGTTCCATTTGCGTTTACGTCTTCCTGTTAGTGAACAAGGTAAAGCTCTGAGTATCACTGTTGGTGAGCAGCATAGGAAGCAGATATAAAACCAGAGTGCAGTAGAATGGGCCTGTATAGTTCTTCTTTTAAGCAGAGCAGAAGAAGCAACGATGATGGACATTTAAATATATTCGTCCAAGTCAAGAAAATTACAGAAAAACTAACATTAAGTAAGGAATTTGTTAGTTTTTTCCTTAAGATGGAACTGAACTATCTAAAGGATTCTAATCCAAATTTCTGAGACTTTTGCATTGATTTCTAATGAGAAAATTCCTTTACCGTTACTGTGGAATAGCCCAACTAGACTTTTTGCCATTATTTATTTGTCTTTTAAGTTTTGTAGTTAGTAGCAGATAAAAAGTACAAATTTTGTATAACGAAAAAGTAGGACTTTTAAAAATTTGAGCTGTTATTTCTATTCGTTTAATTACAGCCAAGGCTGATATTCTGGCTTCAGTTTAGAAGTAAATGTTTTTTTCTTGATTATTATTTATGTTAGGGGTTTGGGAAGTTGGATAGGTTCTGCAGTTTAAATGAAATAATCTGAATTATGGATTTTACTTCTGCTTTAGTCCAGATACTGATACATTATCCTGAATCAGAGTCAGCCAGTGCACTCACACAGTGAACCTCTACTTCAATTTTTTTATGACATTACAAACACATTTCATTTATTTTTATGTGCAGAATTAAATTATTAAAAAAATAAGCTCCAACAATGGTGATAACGGAAATTCCTGGGTAAAAATCCAGAAAAATATACAAAGTAAGCATAAAGCATAAAACTTTTTAAATCCAAATTAATTCTTCTTATTTGTAAAATCCACTTCCAATGGCTCTTTAAAAATTATACAAACAGTTCCAGCTGCACTAACTGTTAGTTTTACTCTATTTTTCTTCTGGAGTAACATTTTGTAACATGTTTTGCTAAAGGAGGCTGATTGGTAAATTATTGTCATCATGAGGAAAGGTTAGACACACCCAGCTGTGCTCTCTTTCTCTCTGGGTTATCGTCAGTATCCATGTTTAAAGTTGTTCTTGTAGAATAGCAAAAACATTTATTTTCTGTTTTTCAAAAAATAATTAAAAAAAAGATCCTTGGAAGCAGATAAGTCTCCCTCCTTGCAGAGTTAGGATTTTGGCATCCTCTTTGTTGTCAAAGGCTAAATGCTCCAAACCATGAAGAAAGACTATTTTAATCCTGTTGAATATTAGGGGCTTTCTTGTGATTTAAATCAGGTGCAAACAATTCAGCTGCAGAGGAAATTAGCTTTTTACAACAAAGGGAAATGTATTTACACGAATATAAACATATTTATGTGTATTACTCATGTTAATTAGGAGGTTATTCTAATTTTACCACATTATTATCAGTAATACATATTAATGATGAGGTTTTCAGAAGCGTAGTAACACTGAATAAATGACCTCAGCATTAACTCAGTCACATTTCCACACACATGGCACTCAGATTAACCTTTGGTTTGCACTGTAAATAAATTGGACTGGAGCTCCTGTGCCGGCTGGACAAGGTGGAGAAAAAAACAAAACATAGACGGATGGAAAAGTTCATATTTTTTCTTTAAAAGAAAGAAGAAGAAATACAGCATGGGGGGAAAAATAGTTAAAGTACAGTCAGGTCAAATACCTAATTCAGCTCATGGAGCAAATCTCATGTCCGTTAAAACGGATTTTACTTGGGAAACATAAAAAGGGAAAGCAGAGCCACAATTAACACATAAAAAAACGACAAAAAAACAATTATGATCATTTTAATCTCTATCAAGGTTGAGGGTATAACACATATATTTCAGATAGAGTCTGATTTCTTGTATTCAACTAATTGTGAAAAAAGTATTTTTAGGATTTTCGATCTGTCGCCTAATTCGGACACACCTCTAAGCACTGTCAAAAAATAGCCAAGGAATCAACCTCCTCACCATTTATTTTTTTATCTAAAAATAAAAAATAAATTAATCAATTAAGCAAGTTTCCCTCAGACCATCTTTATTATAGAATTCAAGTTTTCCGAGAAGCGATTTCTGTATTGTGAAGAACATGATTACCATGCCGTTATCATGTTTTAGAGGTTTATTCCTTGCATTCGGTGCAACAGTTTAGGGAAATATATTTGACTTCAGTAACGGTTAAATATTGCAATAACGGCATTGACCCGTGCAATGCTTGCACCACTCTCTGAGAGCTTCAATAACTTAGCCAATATAGCATCAGGCCTGTGGATTAAAGGCAGATAAAATCTGTTCACCTGGCCAAAAATATTATAAACATACAGAGAGATAATGTTTGACACTTGGGATATAGTATAATATAAACTCCTGAGTGATGGTGCAGACACTGATATTGTGGCGACAGCTGTTATTCATTATATTATACAGCTCTTCAGCCATGACGCATTTATAATCTTGCAGATATGTAATGTCGGGTTTAATTGAAAGTATTAATACTTTGGCGAAAACCTTAACGTCGTGATCATCTACAAAAAGAGCATAGTTTCATGGATATGTTTGAAAACTAAATAAGTATGTCTGCTATGGAAAGAATCACTTCTTAGTTTATATTTTATAATATTTTATAATGCACTTTCTTTGCAGTATCGTAATTTGATTTACGTTTATGTGCAATTAAGTTCTGACTTTTGCATATAAACTAAACTAAGCTTTTAAACTAGCGCCTTTTTGCTAGGTCATGTTTATACATTTTTATTCTACTAATATATATATATGTATACTTAAGGAAAACTTTAGAAAAATCTGACTTAAAGGCTGCCTAAAATCTTTAAAACATATTCTATTTTTAAAAGACATATACTTGATGTCGGTTGTTGAATTTGGCATGTATGTGTCCAATATTAATAATGTGATACAAAAATTCCTTAAGCATGAAAGAAACTTCATAAATGAAAATGTACAGCGCTGTTGGCATAATGTAGATTGTAAAACATTGTGATGTTTTAAATGTCAGATATTTGGATCTTTTAAAAAAAATCTTCCTGTCAAACTTCATGTTACATTTTAGCATCACATACCTGCAAGATATAACTATCTCACTACATGTCTACATGCAGAATTTTGGCTGTACTGATGGAACTAGTTCACTCTGTACTTTTGCAAAGTCTGCTTCTGAAATATGGATGCTCTGTTTTTTTCCACTGAGAAATTAATGCATAGTTGCTCAGGAAAATTTAATGTTTCTAATTGCAGAGGCATTCTTTTCAAACATCTCCTTAAATATAGAAGAAAAGAACTAAGACCTTGCCCACGATTTTTGCAAAGCAAGTTAAATTGCAGTTTACACAATGTGCAGAACATATGCGGCAATAGTTATAGAGGCAATGGCAGTCTCTATAGGTTTAAGAAGGTGAGAGTTTTGAAAAGGATGAGATGAGATGTGTTGATGCTCTTTCGTTTTGTGTGACAGTCATGTGGATTTTTTATTTTCTAATAGTAGGCAGCAGATGCATCTTGTTTTTTCCCCATCTGATGCCACAGTGCAGGAATCAGGGCTGGAGATGAGCATTTTGTTTATTCGTCTCCTATTGTTGACCTGAAATTATAGGCTTGCAAATCTTCTTAAGAAATTGCAAGCCTTATCTTAATTGCAAATTAAGATATTTGTGTACTTTTAGACTGTAAAGTCATTTGAATGCCTATGTTGACAAATATGAAGGTAGCTGATTGAAGAGCTTCTGCTGGTCAAAACGTGCTGCTCATGAAACTTCAGATGACTGAGAGCAGCACCCAGACTTGACCGTCCCTGTAGGCTCGTGCAATTATTTGAATAGAAAAGAATAGACTAGAATAGAATAGAATAACAGAATAGAATAGAAAGAACCTGCATCATCCATCAGTGGAGAAATTCATCATGACAGTCCTCACTGGCTTTCCTCGTTGGTTATCAGTTTTATTGGGGGGTGGGGGGTGGGGGGGGTGGGGGGTGGGGGGGGAATAGTTCGTTCTGTACTTTTGCAAAGTCTGCCTCTGAAATACAGATGCTCTGTTTTTTTCCACTGAGAATTTAATGAATAGTTGCTCAGGACAATTTAATGTTTCTAATTGCAGAGACATTCTACTATGGGGGGGTCAGCTATTATAAAAGATAATCTCAAATATCAGCAAAATTTGTTATCTCTGCAGGCCCAGACGAATCCTGTATATGTAATGTTAGCATTAATTGCATACGCAATACCATTTACACATCTATGAAGATTTAGAGCAAATCCTGCTATCTAGAGCTGGTTGCTACTTTAAAATATAATTATTTTGTGTTTTTTTGTAAAATATTGTTTATGGACAAATAAAAAGCAAAGCATAAAGTTTCAATTTGTATTACATTTCTTTTTTTTAATCAAATGTATTTACAGAAATCTTTGTTTTATAGTTACATTAGGGCTGGTTATCAATTTAAAAAATATTGAAATGTACAAAACATAAACTAGGGGGTCACTTAAATTGAGCTTTCAGTTCATATTGTTGCACATTTTACTGGACTGGACGTTAAAATTGATTGCTGGATATTTTATGTTATGATCTATATCTCTTTAACATAGTAAGCTTTTAAGTTAGTATTAATCGACAGTCATTTTAAGATACTATTTTTGGCCAAAAATAGTATGTTAAGGAAATTTGTTAAAATTATTCAGTTTGTTAAGGATCCCATAGAAAATATATAGTTTGAATATATTTCATTTTGGTTTTGATTGATCCAAATATTGTTTTTTTTACTCATTTCAAACATGAAGTATTGAAGACAAACTGTTAACATCAATATTTGGGTGTTGGACGAAACTGTAACACCAATCAGTGCCAGATGTCTCAAAACAGCTGTGGCTGGTGGTGTTTCAGCCTCTTGTTTGACCTCTATAACTGTGTCTGCTGTCACCAAATTCACTTCCTTCACATCTGGACTCGGTGGTTGAACCTGAGGTTAGGCGTGTAGGTGTTTTAAGGTTTCTCTGGGCTTGTAAAGGTTTAGTTAACGAGTATAGAGAAATAACATGTTTACAGGTGCGAGCTTGCATGTGTGGGTGGGTGGGCGAGTGGGTGGGACTGCTTGGTATGTTAGAGGGTTCCCCGAACCTCATCGTTTGTCTCCGTCTTCTTCCTTCCTGTTTCTTTCTTCTTTACTTCCTGTCAGCTGACTCAGCCCTGGAGAACCTTTATCTGGTAAACATCTGCTGCCTCTGCATTCACACACAAACAGACTAAAGCAGAGACAAGAGTTAAGCATATTTAATCCGTAAGGATGGAGAAATCACCAATCATAGGTCACTCACAGTACTGTATTTTTTCACGGCATCTTTCACAGTCATTTTTAGAATAGAAGAATAGAATAGAATCAACTTTATTGTCATTACACTGTCACAGGTGCAAAGCAACAAAATTCACTCTCTGCATTTGACCCATTCCTTTGAGGGGCAGTGGGCTGTCATTGTGCGGCGCCTGGGGAGCAGTGTGGGGTTAAGTGTCTTGCTCATGGACCTAGAGTGGCAGTCTGTGGGAGTGGGGTTTGAACTCAGAACCTCTGGATTCCAAACTCAATGCTCTAACCACTACATTTTTCATCATGTGCAAACCAGAAAAGTTGTCAAACTTGGACTAAAGTAGAATTACAACGTATAAGATTTTCTAGAGCATGTCTGTCTCAATTTAAGAGGAAATAAAAGCTATTTTATCTGATTTTTTTTTTAAAACAAAAGAAGAAAGAGAGGAGAACAATTGCTTGGTGAGGAAAAGAGATGTATAGCATTGTGGGGACGGGCAGATAGGCGGAAAGATAGAGAGAGATGGAGGAGGGGGCAGAGAGAGATAAAGATAGCTAAAAGGAGGGAGATCCGTCAGCGTTGTTTCCTCAGGATGTGGTTATCACGACGACGCAAAGGCAGTAGAGGCAACATCACTACCCGCTGGTCCTCTTTGACACCTGCAGCGATGCGTAAGTATGAAAGTCAGGGTGTGTGTGAGAGTGTGTGTCTCACTCAGAGAAAAAGGAAGATGTTTGCGGCCTCTCGTTGGTTTTGTGTCCATCATGACGGACGGTGTGTGTATGTGAAGACGCACAAATAGGAAGGACTCAAGCTATAGGTTGAAAATCATTTGAGGGCGACGACTCAGAGACAATGATGAGGACAGTGAGAAGCCGAGAACATGAACAACGGGAGGAGAACGCATGCGAAAAGAAAATTAAGCGGCAAGGACTGGTAAAGAGAAAAAACCTCAGAATGTATACAGTGTATTTGTCTCCTCATCTCTTCATCTTACTTTGTTCTTTCTCTTTCTGACTCACTCAGTGTCCTATTTAGAGCAGAATGTGGTTTCAAAAGAGAGAAAGAAGAAAAAGCTAGTGAAGAAGACCTAAATGATTTACCCTTAATAAATAAGCTAATGTTTTTCATTTTGAAAGCTCAAACATCTGCTTACACAGCAGCGGTGTGAAGCAGTGAAAATCTAAAGAAGGAAACATTTAAACTGAGCTGCTTGGTTAAATGGAAAGGTATGTTTGCTTGTTTTTGTTTTTGCTTTTCCCGCTGCATAACTTTTCTGAAACTAGTTTTGTGTTATTCATTATTATAACTATGTTTTTAAATTTCTTTTTAAACTTAGCTGTGTCAGCTTGAATGTTCAGTGATTGTAGCTCAACAAATTACTACTAAGATGTATATTACTTTAATTTAAGCTGCAGCAACCCTTCAGACATTTCAGCATCTCATAAGATGGTTGGATAAGTTTTTATTTTAATAAATATATGCTGGATTTGATAGTTGTTTTTTCTATTGATCTCAAACAACATTAATTGGACTAAAGAGGGTTAAGATTTACTCATAGTGAAGCCTTTTTTATTGCAATATTGAGAGAAAGATTATCTAACCATCATGATAAATACTTTTTATAGGTTTGCTATGTAGTGTGTATCAATGTAAAGACCTGTTATAATTTTATGCATTTATAGTTTAATATTTAGGAAGGAAGTTTGGTCATTTTTTTTGCAGATGATACTTTGATATACTTTCCTGCATGACCCATCACTGCAGCGTCTATTGATGGCCACAATCTAGCTTTTGTCACTTAAGGGCTTTTTTTAATTCTGGGGGAAACGTGCAAACCAACCAAATATTTATTCCATCTTGGTCCTCTAAAGTTGGATGACCTGTCAGTCAATGTAATATGTGAGGTTTTAACAATAAGTCTCTTTACAGCTCAAGTCCTGCTGTTTGCATCAGTATATAACGCAAACCTTGATATTATCCTTTAGCCGTGCAAATCTTTGCAACGTTCACATGCATCGGACTCAGTCTATTGCCCTGAAACCACTTAAGTTCATATCTTATTTCAGATCTCTCCCTCATCTTTGTGTGAAGGTTGAACTAGATGGTCTGCTTTTTTCCATCCTCAGATTCAATCAGTGGTATGCTCTATTGGTCTCACTCATTCAACATCCTGCCTATTATGAGGTTTGAATATGTTGGGGTTTTATTTGTTAGGAAACACAGAAAGCTTTACACTTGCAACCAGAGATTATAAATACTTGGAAAACAGATTATTTCTGTTTAGCTCGGAATCTGGCATTGAGTCAATGGAACGTATTTGTTTCAGATGAATTACTCTAAAAAGAAAGAATGTCTCGCTGTTAATACATGATCTAGTCTACACCAGGTTCAAAACGGCTTAAAATCAAACCACGTTGATCAAATAAACAGATATGTAGTATATAGCTACATATATAATTCTCAAGGGTCCCAATATTTGTTTAAATAATTCAGTCAAACTAAAATCGCTTTATATCTGCAAATATCTATTAATATATTCAGACAGACAGATAATTGGATGGATGGATGGATGGATAGATAGATAGATAGATAGATAGATAGATAGATAGATAGATAGATAGATAGATAGATAGATAGATAGATAGATAGATAGATAGATAGATAGATAGATGATAGATAGATAGATAGATAGATAGATAGATAGATAGATAGATAGATAGATAGATAGATAGATAGATAGATAGATAGATAGATTGTCTAGAAGTTATCGTATGAGATGATACCGTCAACCTCTGAAAACGAGAAAGCAGCAAAAGTTAGAGTGATAAATCAGTGGGGCCTCTATATATAGGATGCTCAAATTCAATATAGCCACCTCTAGCTAACAGAATTCAATACATTTTTTTGTTGTTATGAGGTTTTTTTTTTTTATTAAAGTTGCTCAATTTTAGAGTGTACTTTTTTTTTTTTAAATCCTAATTTTAAATGTACTGTTTTTTTTATTTTGACTAGCTTGTCTTCTAACTTTGAAAGAGTGAGCCAGGTGTTTCTGTTTCTCTGGGGTATAAATTAATTGATGTGGTCTTTTTCTCTTAACCTCCCTCTTAAAAAAATAGTAACCGGGGAATATTGAGCTAATTTTTTGCGTACAGTATGCGTGCTGATTTCTCAGATTATAACACATCTAATTTCTTTACATCTACAGTCAGAGAAGAAATGAAAAAGTCCCAGACTAGAAGAACTGTTATAAACATCCTTGTTATAAAAAGCATTGAGGGGAAATGCAAAATAAATCTCAACAGCTCACTGTTAGGGAGTTGTTGCTTCTGGCATAAAAAAAAAAAAATCATTCATCCTAATCTTATTGAAACCTTTTCTTTAAATAAATGTCAGAAATAATATATAGATCTGTAAATACATGTTTATTATGTTACAGAGGAAATTCTGTGAAAAGTGCTAAAGATTAAAGGCCTAAATTTTATTAACTTAATTACCTGAGGCTATTAAACAGTATAGCAATGTCTGATCAAATATTCTATTTGTTTGTTAATTTATGCAGGACACCACATTAAATACTCAAGCTGAGCTTGATGTTTATCTTGATATTTATCTGTCTAATAAACACATATTTATCAGAAATAGCATAAAGTCTTGAAAAATTACTTATCATCACATTCCGGCTAAAAAAAAAAAAGGTTTCTATTTCTATTCCAAATGTTATATTCTAGTACCTAATATATGTTGCATTCAATGACTATATTTATGTTTTAGATAAACTCCCCCCTCACATTTAGCTGGTTATTCTGTGTTTCCTGCAGGCATTTTAGCAAAAGCAAACACATTTTCATCATGGAGGGTCGCTCAGCCACTCAATCCTTCTCCAACCACCAGCATCATCGCCACCGTCCATCTTTTCTGACCCTATCAGGCTTTCAGAGCTCTGATGCTGGATTTCCACCCTCACACTCTATCCAGGACTCCCAAGACCACTATGGGGGTAGAGGGGAGGAATCCACACCCGCCTTCCTGACATCAAACACCTCAACTGGGATGAGGAGGGTGAATAGTGGGAGTGACAGAGTCTTCCTCACCACCAGCGGGAGCAGCTTGGACGGAGATGCTGGTTTAGGAGGTCACTTTGGTGGCGAAAGCAGACTGGGAGGTCACTTTGACGACTCGTGGTACGGCAAAAAAGGGATGTGGGACGACGTGGAGAGCGGAGAAAGCACCGCAGATGATTTCCACAGTAAAGAAGATTGTTACAGCAACACGAATGATGTGTTTTGCACCATGAATTGTGTTCCTGAAGAGGGAGACAAGTGGACGATCAGATCAAACTATAACAATCATGGACAAAGTGAAGTCTGTAACAGGGAAGGCAGCTTCAGCAAGCAATCTGCGTCCTACAACAGATCAGATTCGAAGGTGAGCGATCATTATGTAGCAGGAGAGGAGGATTACGGGTCCAGCTGTGGTTCAGGAGAGGATCAGCTTCAGCAGGCAGAGGCTGAAGGGTCGTGGCTCACGGTTTCACCCACAGGAGAGGCAGAGATCAGAGGTCTCGCAGATGGGAGGTGGAGAGGAGCAGCAGGACCTAACGTTCTGGCCTCAGGATCACCTGTGGGGGCCAACAGCAGAGCCTACCCTCAGAAACTAGACTCTTTCTCTGACGCCTTCCTCCCTCAGAGGAGGAGAAGATACCAAACTCCTTCTGATAGGGATTCTGGACAAATCTGGGAAAACGGATTAGGAAGAGGAGATAACTCTGGATCAGTCAAGATGAGGCAAAGCTGTGCTTTTGACCCGGACTCGTATCTTCATCCGTCCTCCTCCTCTCTGTCATCTTCTTTTCCCTCCCCTCCCACATCGTCTCACCTCATGTCTTCAGTTCTGAGTCCCCCTCCCACTCCCTTGCCCCCTGCTTCTCAGTCGCCCTCCAAAGCAGACTCTCCAACCTCACAGGGGGGCACGGCACATGTGGTTCCCCAAGGGGAAGAATCCCTGGGTGGGCTTCAATTTTTCCCACCCCGTGTTCAGTCCTCTGGGATGATCTGGAAGTTCCCCCTGCTTTCGCACTGCTTCCCACAGCTATCAACCGACCCCAGTGACCTGGGGTGCAGCCTGAGATCCTCTCAAGGCGACGAGGGAGGCAACGTCGCAGGTAAAAACATACACTAACATGCTTTACTGTTAAAATGCGAACAACCACAGGGCTAATGTGAATGAAAGGAGTTTACACACAGGTTAAGGCCCACATGTAAATTTACGGGACGTGTGGGTTTTCGTGGGTGTACTCGTGAAGTTTCCCATTTCCCACATGCAAATTGCAGTTTCAGTTTTGACATCTGACTTTTTAAATGTTTTTTCTCTGGTTGAAAGTTATAGTTTTTGCCATCATACTTTGTTTTTTCATGTGAATGTTCATAATGTGGGTTTCTGACTGTTTTCCATCACTCAGGTGATGGTGATGCATCACAGGGGTACAGTTTCTGTAGCCTTCTCTTAATTTCTCCTTGTTTTTAAATGCATTTCTTCAGCTGCTTGCGACATTCTACAGTCTCCTGAACCATCATCCCATAAGTCTTCCACCCATCGTTCATCCCTCCATACCTCCAGACCGTCTTGTGCATCCAGCGGTTCATCCCCAAACGCCTCTTTCTCTCTTCCATTTCACCCATTCTCTGGGAAGCATCACGAGACTACTGAAAAGATATCTCTTTACAAAGCGACTCAGAAAGTTAAGACTGAACCCATCAGTCTGGACCAACAGCCCCTGCAGGTACAGTAAAGTGATTTTATTAGCCCTAGTAAGACATTTTTAGAACAATCAAGGGAAACTTTTTTATTCCCTAAGGCAACATTTCTGGTTGTGCCCAACAAATGAATTGGTTTGTCTTTAAGCATCCGAGATAAAGATGCTTTCGTATTAAACAAAGGTTAATTTGGCTGATGTCATGTGAAAAATACTGCCCACTTCAAGATATTAGATGTTTGCTCTTTGATAAAGGAGTCATAACTTGGTATTTGACATAAATACTACCTTAAATTCATGTTTAATTACTTTTAGGAGGAAAGAAAAATTAAAGAGGGATGATTTCAACCTCATTTTTACAGTTTTTTTCTCATAAGGGTTCGCTGAAATTAAATGGGTGTATGTGCCTTCATGTCTGCAAGTAGCATTAGCAACATTAGCAGTTTTCGAGGCTTCATGTACCATCGTTTCCCAATCTGTCATACAATTAGCAAAAAAAAGTTACACATGCAGCTACACTTAATGAGGAATGAGTTGCTATGTGCGACACTTTGATGCAGTTAGTCAATATGTATTGGAGAGTGTCATTTTTTCCCCCTCTCTTATTATCCTCGACATGTTCTGTGGTGGCAACATAAATTGGATCATCATACAGACTCTTTTGCTTTAGCTCCAGTGATTTAAATTGCTTTAATGTTTGTTTCAATTTACATAAGGACAAGCTATATTTGCGCAAAGATCAAAATTTACTCATGCATTTCTAGCAAACTGTGTGATATTACTTGATTAACAGTGAGACTAGAATTAAAAACATATACAATCAATCCAACCATTAAATTTGAGAAAATTCTGAGCACCTTGCATTCAACATTAGAAAGACAGGCTGTAAGATGCTTATCACTCCTGCAGAGATCTGCATTAGATGTGTTCAGGAGAATGTCATCAGCAAAATAAAAATTTGTATGGGCATTTTGGCAATAAACATGTTGGTGAAGGTGAAGCAGGTGAGTGTCAAACAGAGAGAGGCCAAGGAATGATTCATGGGGTTCAGCAAAAGTCAAAACAGACATATTCCTCTCTGTTTACTGTGGCAACATCAGGTTTTCATCCAGTCTTTCAGTTGTCTTTTGCAATATCTGACTATTGCTTCTAGATTTCTAGCAGTATTCTAGCAGGGATACGTGTAAGAATTAAATTGAGAACCCTTGTATTCATCTTTTCTTTGACAGAGGCCTCTATATTTCTGTTTAACATCTATCATATCAAAGTAGCCTTTGATAAAGACAAAATAGTCATCAGCGTAACAAATGCTCCGTAATTCTTAAAAGTGGGCATAAACATTGATATTTTCATTTGTCGTCACACCCACCTGTTTGCATAGGGACATATTTGGTCCAAAAATAAAATAAAAAACCTAGTAATCTCACATGTAACGTTTTGGTTGGAGATCAGAATCAAGCAAATTTAAATTAGCTTTAATTTTGTTGTTGTTTTTAGTAGCCTCTCCTAAACTAATAAAAAAATCAACATATTTTGCTTATTTAAATTATTTTGTTCCAATTTTCAGGACAGCTAAGAGAAATGGGCTTCAGTTTCATGTTACCAGAGAATAAAAACAAAAACACATTTTCCAATATATGATTTGTAAACATGTAAATTTACAAAATAAAGGTATTTTTTGTAAAAAAAAAAAAATTAAATTTAATGCATATTCACAATGGGTGATTATTGAAGAGGATGCTTTAAAACAAACAATTTCAAGATGCAAAAAAGTTGTAATTTAAAATAGAAAATATCTCCAATATTTGTTTTCTTTCTGCTCAAAAGCAGCACAGTCAGTGGTAGAAGGTGTCAACTCAAGGTCTAGTTTCTGATTATCAAACTGTTTAATCACAATAGGTTTAAGAAACACTTTGAGTTCATCTTTGGAAGTTTTCCTTTAGGTTGACATTTTTTCTTTCCTGTCCCCCTTTTTTTTATAATGCTATCAGTTTTTAATCAACAGTAAACAGGTTATGATGGAGGCAGACAGAGCTCGCTGCAGCTGGAAAAGCTCTGCGTATCTTGACTCCAACTCTACGACATATTCCTAAACCACAGTCTTATTTTTAGACATGTGATAAGGAGTGTAAATAAGAATCGTCTGTGAAAAGCGTGTTCTTTGGGTTTTAGTAAGGTGGGATGTTGTTCCTGCCTTAGAACTAGGCTCATGTAGGCACATTATGGGAACTTATCTAAGCGCCTGTGGAGAAGGAAATCATTTTGTTTGTGCAGATTGTTCTAAGATAATTCAACTTTCTTCTGTTGACCTATATTTCACTTTACTCTCATTCTTCTTTTCTTTCTCCTGTTCTTTTTTTTTAAGAGCTAATAATTGACTGAAGTCTTATTTTTTTTCATTCATATAGGAAGAAAATACCCCTGTCTACACTGGAAAACCATTTCCTAGTATTCTTCACTCCAAAAGGGCTCAGAACTGGGGTCGTTATACCCCTCGACCACTTCTGAATCCTTCCCGCAGAGGCACAGGCCTCTTTTCGTCCATTTCATCTGCTCACCACAGGGAGGAAGAGACATCATGGGCCGAGGAGGAGAGATGTGGGTTACCGTAAGTAAAATCTACAAATAGGTCTTTCTTCTTTATCACAGTTTTTTTGTGTGTGTTTTGTTTTTTGTACTAAAAATAAGCAGTAACGGAAAGCTTCCCTCTTCTTAGATATGTCAATGTTGGTCCAGGATTCCAGGCGGATATTCCTCCTTGTGTTGTGGATGTTGAGTGTTCCAGCTCCTGGATTTCAGAGGAAGATTACCCACCAGAGCAGCTGTTGTGGAAACCCTGGGATGAGCTGCAGGAGAGCCCTCGACTTCAGGGCCAAGGTAAAATACAGCAACCGTATCACAACACCTGCTTCAGAAAATACCCACAGCTCAACTTGTTAAACATTAAAGCCTAAATGAATTCTAATGTAGGTAAAGCTAATGAAGGTGTGTGCTCTATCTGTAGTGGAGAAGCTGCTGTCCATGTGTAGTTCCAGCTGTCTACCAGGAGGGGGCAGTAACACAGACCTAGCACTGCATTGCCTCCACTACAGCCAAGGGGACACAATGGTAAGAAAAAATAGTTTTATAATTTCTTTTGGTTATTTTATTTATTTAGTTATTTAGTTTTCATATTTTTAGTAATACCCCTATAATCTGGGACTAAATTAACCATATCTTTACTCTTTATTATTTTGTTTACCTTCTATTTGTTTGTGCAGGCCGCTTTGGAGATGCTGTTGTTTTCTACGCCCTCCCCTGCAGGAGATTACCACTACTCTGGTAACTTCCTAACTTCCTTCTTGATGCTTAGTTTGGATATTTAGCACAGACCTACAGTGTCATTCATATTATACCACATACATACATACATACATACATACATACATACATACATACATACATACATACATACATACATACATACATACATACATACATACATACATACATACATACATACATACATACTCATACATGTCATGTTACCTGAGTTATGGGAAGATAAACTTCAAGGCTCAGGACATCATATAATGTCCCAGTCATCCTCTCTATCCAGTTTATTTTAGCTCATAGCCTCAGGCAGCATATTCAGAGTGCAAAAGGCTCGATCCAGCTGGATGAAAACCTTATTAACCCCAGCAATTAAACAATTAAACCTGAATTTTAAAAGTGAACACATTTGATGTAATAATGGTCCTGCTCCAAGCTTGTTTATGACTTAAAGAGATTTTATTTGTAATTTTGTTTACACAAGTGTAAAACAAAAATAAATTTTGTTTGGAACAGCTCTGGATGCTGAAGAAGATTCTCAGTTATCCAGGTTGTAGTAATTCCGTAAAAGTTTAAAAAAACAATCCTTTTTATATATTAATTTTCCGGCAAACCGAATTTCCCTCAGGACACAATACAAGTTGAGTTATAGTAAACTGGCTCCCCTAGAAAAGATGTGTGTAAAAACCTTAAGTTAATTTAATATTTGACTGCTTTTCTAGAATCTAAAACTGTAAATACAGATTCTAGAACATAAATTCCACATGAAAAACAGTCGCTTAATGTTTTTGCACTCCTTAAGATGATAAAAAAAACAATTTAAAAAGTCAATAATAAAAAATAATAAATAAAAAAACCCAAATAAAAATAATAACTACTTAAATATCATTACATAATGCTTGAAGTATAAAAATTAGAGGATGCCATTTCTCTTGGGTGCTTGTCAAAGCACCCATCTTCATATCTCAATTTTCTTTTTACAAGAAAACTACAACTAAATCCTAATTATCACTCAAAGCAAAGCTACTATCATTATAATTCTTATTTTCCTTAAAGTTATGCACACATCTTCACCTAGGTTGAGCTATAGGTATTTAAACAGTACTAAACTTATTGCTATGGATGATTTAGATATGCAGTGTGTATAAGGCGACAAACTTCAAAAAATCTTGATATTTCTCTACCATTTCTGTGTTTTAACCTTTTGTTTAAAAAGACATAAAAGTTAATTAAAAAAAAGATTAGGTGTGCTAGTTTTGATATTTTGTGCATTAAAACATTATTCTTTCTAAAAAGTTTTACAGTATTCAGTTTTACATAAGAAACCAGATGGTGGTTTATCAGATATTCAACACCTAACTAGAAGTTTTAAAAACATCATAATTGCTCTTCTTTTGAATGTTGAATTAATTTTTTTTTAGATTTTGAAAAGCTAATTTATGAGCTGATGTTTTACCTCAAGCCAGCTTTGTAAATTTGGTCTAAACAAACAAGTTAGAAGTCAGGCTTGGTTGGCGATGGATGAACCATGACAACCTTCTAACCACTTTCACACTTCACTAAGAGGAAAGCTAAAGCTGTCTTTCCTGTCTTTTCAACAAATATTTGCTCAGGAGGCTTGATTTACTAATGCGTGCTAAAGTATAAAAAGATTTCCTGAAGTTTTCCACTAAAACTACGTAAATGGTTAGAATGAGTAAAATGAGGAAATTGTGTCTGCAGTACATATAATAGAAGTGATTGTTAAAGGCTGAATTCCTCCCACCTATATCCAATCCTCTCACTCATTTAAATCCACAAAGAGCCAAGAACAAAGCAGACATTGTGTTTGTCAGTCAGGTGAGTGCTTTTCTTCTGCATGGTGGTATTCTAGCACGTTTTAAGCTCATTAATTAGAAAAAAACATCATAATTTAGACATTGTAGCCTGTAAGGGACAGTCTAACCGTGTGTGATCCTCAAACCATTTTAATTCAGAAACACCCTTAGCTTGCTCTAAAATGGAGCAAAAGATTGTTTTTCCACACAGCGGCGGTCGTAAGACCCTAATGTTTCACTGCATGGAATCAGGTCTGCATCTCAGTGTGTCGTCCATCGTAGGATGACCTTGATGTATTTATTTCCATTTTTTTCTCCTGTCCTGTTAACCTCTCCCTCCTTTTTCACTCTTTCTCTCTTTCTCTTCTTATTAGGGAGTGATTTTTGGACAGATACTGAAAAGAATCTCTTCGGTGTGGCTCTAGGGACGTATGGAAAAGACTTTTCACTCATAGAGAAGACGGTAAAAGAACAATTTATGTCCTCACTGTGAGCTAAGCTGCACCTAATTGCTACCCTGTTCAGTCCCTGGCGACCCTACTGTTAATACTTTGCACAACCTTCTTTTGCAAACAGTGCAGACTTCTTTCACATAAGAGCATATAGAAAGAGGGATTTTGCACTATTCAGTTATGTATAAGCTCTCTTTTGAGCTATACAACGCAGCTGTTTCCACTCTCACAACCAGTTTTTATGTAGCTTTTGCTATCCTTTGTCTTAAATGCTTGTTATTTTTTTAAGGATCCATTTTAAGCTAAATGTTCAATCCACCATATTTTTAATTATCTTTATATTTCAAAGATTTTTTGATAAAATTCACTTAATCAGTTAGATATTTTGAAGGGAGATGTGTCCACAGTATCACTGATACTCAACTGTACTTAATAATGGGCATCAAATCCTTTTCCACATATCGATTTTATGCAATATTTAAGAATGAACCCTTGTTTTCCACTTGTACGAATGCAAAATATCTATGCACAAAACCACGTGTGCTTTGGAACGTTCTGTGGCGCAACTTAAAAAAGCAACACCAAAGCAAAACAAAGCAAGACAGAGACAACTCCCATCTATCACTTTACTCTGTTTTTGGAGAAGATTATGGTTTTAATGCAGCTTCGTCGGAGAAAGAAAGGTTGGACCAAACCAAAACTTGTAGCATCCAATCAGCACAGAGTCCATGCATCATATAGGATACTTGAACTTTATTGATCTCACATTGGAGAAATTTACCTCTGCATTTAATCCAGCTGCTATCGTGGGGGAGCAGCAAGCATTTCATTCATAATAAAGTTAAATATTAAGCTATACAAGGAGATAAATACTTTTGAAAGATAAAACTGCTTCTTTATTGCTGCAGGTGAGGACAAAGACGGTGTCCCAGTGCGTGGAGTATTACTATCTGAGCAAGAGGCTGGTGGACAAACAGAAGAAGCAAAAGGAGGAAGAGGTCAGAGAAGCAGAGGAGGAGTTGAAGAAATGCGTAAGAACCCTCTAAATGCTTTTGCCGCCTTTAACCTATTTTCAAATTTTGTCAAATATTTTTGCCTGATCTGCCTCAATCACTCAGGTTCATTAAAACATTTCCAAAAAAACCTCCTGACTGACTTTTTGCATAACGTGTGGAATGCTTTGCATGACTATCCACTATGGAATGCAGCTTAGCCAGCAGTCAGAGCTTTCTAGCTCACAAGTGGTTGTGTTTCACAGATGACGCCCCTCTCCCAGCCAATGGAAAGGTCGTTTGTTTTGGAGGAAGTGGTTCCTGCTCCCTCACTGGCTAGCTTCTTCCCCTGCAAGCTGTGTGGCAAGTGAGTAGGACTAGTTTTATTAAACGAAGCTGGCCTTTGCCTTAAGGCAAAGCCAACACATGGTTTAGATTTTCTAATATCCTTTTTTAATTTCTCTGGTTTTCTTTTCTAGAATGTTCTATAAAATCAAATCCCGCAACGCTCACATGAAGATCCATCGCCAGCCTCAGGAGGACTGGACTGACAGGCGGCTCCAGCACCAGCTCCTCACGCAGCGTCTTGCCCTCACTCGCCCAGCCAACCTCATTCCCAGCCCAGGAAGTAGCCTGCTCCCACCTCAGTCTTCGTCAGCTATGGTGTTCTCCCCGTCAGGCCTCCCTTCAAGCAGCAGCAACAACCCAAACAATGTACACAACAGTATAACTAACAGCCACACAATCACTCCTAACCAACTTGTAGATCCTAGCACAGGTGTGACTTTTAGCAACATCAATCCTACAAATCCCCATCTAGTTGCTATGAACAATATCGATGGGTGCGACTCAAACCGAAAAGACCCCATTGTACCTTTCCACCAGCCGTGGAACTCTTTTGGACACCTTCTTCCAGACCTCTCTTCTTTTTATTGCCTCCCTGAAGGAAAGGAGGAAATGGGAGCAGGGTCAGGGGAGGGAAAGGAGGCGATCGGCTGGCAGTAGTAGTCTGTCACTTTCCTAAAAGCATTACCACCGCAATTCTGAATATCAAACTTACCTTTAATTCAAACTCAGCTGTTTTATTCAAACTGTTTTCACACAAAAAAAAATTAACTTAATGCTCCTGTTTATTTGGGCTTTTGCTGTAAATGTTGTACTTATATTTGTTACATATTTAAATAATTGTTTTTCATCTGAAATATCAATAAAAATATGACTTTGCACAATTTCATTTACATGTTTTTTTATCTTTTAAAGCATACTTTACATTCTTCTCTTAAGTTCTGATCCCTATATCTGGTGGTGGTTCTAGACTAAATTTATCAGGACAGGAATGTTTAGTATTATAAATGAGGCATAAAGCCCAGATTGCACACTTTTGATCTAATGGATAAAAACTGTGATTATTTCTCAGTACAGGTGAAGCTTAAGCTGCTTGCAATTTCTAAGTAATTCTTAAAGTCAATTATCCAGGCAAAATATTAAATTGGTCCAGGGTACAAATCAGTAAAAGGCTCTTCTTTCATTGCAAATGATCATTAGAAATTGATTTAGTTACACTGCAAAAACAGATCTAAAAAGTTAAATAAAAAAAATTATAATTGCATCTTCTAATTGCATCAATTAAGCTGTGTGTGTTTTCAGTACATGGGCTATAAAAGGATTCAGGACTAGTTCTAGAGGGGCACAGGCCCCTGTTGGCCCCTGTCTAGAACCACCTCTGCCTATATCGAAATACAAATATACCATTATTTAACTTTTTCTGATCCAGAAATAAATAAATAAAAGATTATGTTTTTTTTTCTTTGTTCTGTTGTACATTAGTATGAGAAAAAACATTCTAATTGTAACTAAACACTCCCTGAAATAAAATCAAAGGCATGTATTGTAGTTTTACTAGCTAGAGATAATGGTTTGAACCGATAGCACAGATTTATGGTGTCGGTTCTATCTGTAATCCCTACTGGTCTCCGTCCCTGCCTGCAGACTTAGAGTCTTATTGTCATTTTGTATACATTTTGTATACAAAACGAATTTTTGTTTTGTACAGCTTGCATGACATTTCAATTTCTCAAAGTGTAATAGTGATCAAATATAAATAGTATGGGAGAGAAAAACATGGTGCAAAAAAAATAATAAATTGTATCAGGCTCCCTCACTGAAAAACAATTAAACTGCAAACTTTTGCCCATATATCCAGTTTTACTTATATTCAGAAAGCTTTAATATTCCCTGTGTTGTGAAAATCAGGTGCATCAGCAGCTGTAAGAAAATGGAAGTATGGCACATTTTATCCAAAAGTTAGTTTTGAAATAGTTTTCCTGTCTTTCCCCCATCCGCTCCTGGTCAGCATAGTAGCTGCTGTCAGCTGTTCAGACTTGTTGATGTGCACGTTTGTAAAATGTTGTGAAAAGCCAACAAATTTGGTGACCAAATCCCTTAATAAGCTATATTTGCCATCAACAGTCATTACCTGTAGCCATGTGTGCAGAGCTAGACTAGATTTATTAATCCGTTGGGATTACTCTCCCTTACAGAAATTCCAGTCCCAGTAGATTATATGGAGTACAAAGAGTTAAAACAAGATGCCATAAAGATAAAAATACAACAGACAACATGAAAAGAGTGTATATAGTACAAAAAAGCATAAAAAGTTGTAATATCCTTGAAAATGTTTCCTTTAGATATAAAAATATCTGTACAGTAGAGAGCTAAGGAAAGAATAAACAGTAGTTGACTTGGATTATTGCACTTGCACTGCAGAAATTTACTGACCATATAAATAAGTAAAAATTATATAGACTAAGGTAGTGCATGCATGTAACTAAGAGTTTGTAAAAAAGCTAGTTATCTAGTTAAGCTAGTTTTATCAACAGCTAGCCAATTAAGATAACTATGACAACAATATCTAAATTTTAATTTATTTTTTACATATCTGTCGTTGCCGTTTTTAAGGATGCCAGTATTTCCCAAAAATGTGTTTTCCATGCTGAATAGAGGTTAAAAGTGAAAAAAAGTTCGGATCTCCATTGCTATAGAAATTCCTCTACAGAGATTCCACAAAACACAGAAAAGGAACCTGAAAGTGACACTTTAGCTGCAATTCTCCAAGAATGATAATTTGGTTTATTTTCCATTTACTGCCTGACAAGATAAACTTGAACCCTCAATGTCTGTGTTTTATTATATTTAGACCCGTAGGAAAATATATATACCAATAGGAACATAAATTCATAAAATCCAATTAACGATATTTAAGAACAGGAACAGGTATTTTTAAAGAAGGTAATAATTGTGGCTTTGATAATTTAGTAAATTAAAATCTTAATTTATATATTTTTTAACAAACTCTTTTTTATTCATCCCCCACTTCCTAAAAATTTCTCCTTATATTTGTTCTCTCTTTGCACAAATACTTTCAGATTGTTAAATCACAGCAGAGCTTTGCATGGATACACAATGTCTTCTGAATGGTCCTCTTACGTCCCCATAATGGGTCAATGTTGACACTAGAAATAATTCATTTCTAACAGGCTGTAAAGTACTCAGAATTGCCCAGTTAATGGTTAACCTTTGTTATTGTTAGCTAAATCCAAACAGTTTGATAAAGCCATGCTTTCCTAGAAGACATAAAAAAACATAGTTAGTCATGCAGATTTCTTTTCTCGATGAAGAAATTTTGCATCGCTCACTGCCCTTTGAACCTTTTTGCAAATTGCTCTTGAGTTTAGTGATAACTTTGCTTATATAGATTAATTATCAGAATCTGCATGCATTTATGCAAATTGGTGCAGTGTGTGTGTGTCACTGATAAAAGTAACCCCTCCCATTGAACACTCTCTCCCTTTGACAAAAGTCCAACATGGTTTGTCGGCCCCCCCCTTTTATTTAGTATCTCTCTAACAGTGCACCTCCCACTCATCTGATAGAGTGTCTTTAGTGACTGAATGACCAGAAGCTGTGCAGCATTTTCCTTATTTTACTGACAAAATGTCTGTTTATTTTATTCAAAGGGCAAATATGTATTATTGGCGCATTGTCTCTTTTTGGAATTACAATTTGCACACATGAGAGTAAAACAGAGAATCAGCAGCAGTAGAGTTCAGTTTTGGCCTTTCCTAAAAGAAGTGTGGGAGGGGTGGTGGGGGTATAAAGAGGGGGTGGAGCAGAGCAGACCAGTTAGGAGAGCAGAGAGGGGATCTCTGCAGGAAGGGAATAAACAGAGAGGTTACTGAGCAGTGAGCATTCACCCATTCAAAGGGAGCAACTCATTGCCAGCAGACTGAGCATGCCCCCCTCCAACACTGTCCAATCCTAGCTTTCTCCCATGAGTTGCTCTCCCTGTTTCCCAGAAAAGGGTGGTGTCAGAATATAAAAACTGCTAGCTTAATCAGGTTACTGTTGTGACATGCATAGAAATGCCTTTGTGATCTACCCTCTTAATTTTTATAGCTTGAAATAAGAAGGCGAGACACACTGTTATACATGTTATGGATGCAAACACATTAATAAACATTAGAATCTGTATATTGTATTGTGTAATTGCATTCAATACAAAGTTATGTTTTATCTGTTTCTTTTTACTTTTGGGAACCTATCTCCACTTATTCTTTCATTCATGATGGCAAGTTCTGTTCTGAGTATGACAAAAAAAAGACTAAAAAAACTAGATGAGATAGTGTTCATAACATTACACCAGGAACCAGTTTGGTGTTGGGTAATTGGAGGCTGAATAATAGATATTGTGAAATGTGAATTCCTGTTGATCTCAGAGTGGCAGGAACACAGGTTGGACAGGTATATGTTGCTATAGGTGTTCGCTCCAAACTGACAACTTCTCTTATCTGTCCCTGGTAAACTCCTGTTTTACAAGTCTTACGATGATATTGCAGATTTTTACTCTCAAAATCAAAGGTTAACAAAGAAAATTTGGCCCCTCCTCTGGAAACTTGCCATTTTTTCCCTGGTCCCCAGAAGCATTGTTGGATTAGTGCTTCTAGGTTATTTCTTCCCGTGGCAGCAGTGAAACTGATAACTAACTTCCTTTAGGTTGTACTCATATGTTGAGAAATGTATTAGATTTTTTTTTTCAAAGCTCAGTCTGGATAGTAAAACAGTGAAGAAAACTGTAAAAATCTTGCTAAACTAAATTAATTCTAATGTTTTAAACAGATAGATATCCTATTTTGATTGAAGTGAGCAGTACAAGGAGCAGTTTAAGATGTCTTAAACCTTAGTTCAAATTAGAGGCATGGAGGTGGCATTTCAGTCTCTTTCATTACGGTTTGGGTCAAAATGATTTATGGAACTTTAGAAAAAATGGTAGAAAATCAAAAAGATGGGTAGAAAACATGTAGAAAAGAAATTTTTCCTCAGGACTACAATTCCTATGAAAGTAACAACCATAGCAAAATAAAAAAAAATCTCTGTAGACATTTAAACATGCAAGTGTTCACTAACAGATAGTAATTATTAAAAAAAGATCAAATAAGCTGAATGTTCATTGGTAGCTAAATATCAGTTACAGGGGTAAAGAGGGTGTCATATAGGGGTGGTAATGATATTAGAAAAAGAATCAGTGCAGAGGTAGAATAAAAGTAAGCCATTTATCCATCTGGTTTTGGTTTGAGTATCACATGAGTATTCAGATGAAAGCATAGTAGACTATTGTCCATTTTAGAAAGCAGCAGCACAAAGGAGAGCAATTTAAGTACCTGTAATCAGATCTCCTCCTTCTCAGTTGTTTCCTGATCCAGAGACTGTCTTTGCTTTCACACAATACTAACCCTTTTACAGTGCCTTCTCTTTGGAAACCTGCTTTAAGAACGTATTTATAATAGAAATATGTAAAAGGGAGAAAAAAGTGGAGATAGGAGACCTAAGGACTTGAATAAATTTGTATTAAACAAAAAGAAAAAGCATCCATGACCAATAATGTTACTTTACATTTGTTTCATGTTAAACACAGCCATATTCACTGTATTTTGTATGTGACTTTATGTAATAAACAACCAAAAAAGACACAACTGTTTGGAGAAAAGGAAAAGAATACAACAAAAACATATGAAATAAAAGTAGAAAAACACAAACATAAATACATCCATTCGTCTATGAAACTTGGTGACAGTATTCATTTTATTCTATGATATTAATCATTTATTTTATTATTATTATTTTTTTGAGTTTTTGCGGTTCTTTGTAGTCATTTTGCTGCCAGACTGTCCAGATAGAACAATTACTAATTAGTGTTAAGAGAAATCTTTAAGCAATGATTTGTTGTCGAATCCTGTGGTATTTTCCAACTGATAACATTCATTCTGTATTGAAAGGTTAGATTTTATGATAAGAGCCTTTCACACTCAATCATTTCACTGACCAGTTTAAAGGTAATCGAAACTTTTGATATAGGAACAATTCAACTTTTTTAGGTGCTGATTTTTCGCTTTTTTATCTCCCTGTGTTACCAAACATTTGTATTCTTCTCTTGACCATGTCACCACTTCTCTGATATCTGTACAGTGATAAAGCAACTGTGTGTCTACATAGAGGTCTCTTCAGCTCAGCTGCAAACAACATTTGTACATAAGTTATTCTAGAGTTCTGTATGACTTTTAAAATATTTTTTCTTAATTCTGATATTTATATCTATATATATATATATATATATATATATATATATATATATATATATATATATATATATATATATATATATATATATATATATATATATATATAATTAATAATTAATAAATCAAATTCCTTATTCAATTTTATTTAAAGTTTTTGTAGAGGTTTAAGACCAGTTTTGCACATGCTAACGATTTAAAATTGCACATAATAAGTTTTGTCATATTTGTCTTTTTAAACTTGCAGGTATATTTTCCAAAAAAAGGCATACTCATACTTCATAAGGCCTCTCTCAACTTACACACTGCTTAAACTGCTAACATTGGTATCAACCAACATATACGGTAGGTCATGCAGGATGATGTGGATGTGAAAATTTGATATTCAGTGATTCTGGGCCTCAGTAAATTAGATTTAAAAGGCCAAAAAATAAGTTTTGCCAAAAAAAAAGATGTTTACAGACAAAACTTATCTGAAATGAAAGATAGAAACATAATGAACAGTAAGTATAATCTCTCAGCTGCATATGTAGATAGTTTGGTGCCCATACAGCAAGCAACTGAGAAGTTAAAGATGCTTAGATAAAAAAAAAAAATTCCAGGCGAACCTTTACTGTACTATTTTAGAACAAATGCTTACATTTGGAAATTCTTTTTCAAGTTTAAAATTTGGAATGCTATTTTATATTTGATTATAAAAATACGGTTTTCCTCCCAAATATCAGAAGTTTTTTTGTAAGTACAGAATATACATATTGAGCTAAATAAAAAAAAATGCATGAGAAAAAATGGCCGTATCTAAATAACCATGTGTCCAATCATGGGAGCTTCATAGCTCTTTGGAAAGGTCACATTCTACATAATCTAATTATATGCACCGATTTAAGATGTGAAGAAGTATATTTTTGCTAAATAATAAGCTATTGATTGGATATATTCTAGAAACTGACTTTTAACAGGATGAAAATATATTTTGGGGGAAAAACAGCAAAGATAGAACTACCGGTAATTGTTTTTTTTCTTTGTTTTTGGAGGAATTTGTTGAGGGGTTTGCTGCAAATGATTAGACTTTTGCCAATGAGTCTGGCTTTGCTCAATTCAGTGTCTTGTTGACTTTCAATAGAAATGCACCATTTGGTGCCGCTATGTGTGCTGTTAAGACCAGGCTCACCAAAACACAAACTTGTTCATAAACTGCATTTCTGCTATCCGAGCACTTTTTGACATGATGCTGGAGCTGTAGTCAGTGGATATTACAATGCAGTGGATAGTCTCATAGAGCAGTTTCAGACGGAGATTTGGGTTTATTATAGTGTGTGTTAGTCTTAGAGTTAGTCAGCTATAAGCTTATTATTGTTGTAAAAGATTTGCAGCCCCCTTGAAAGGGGCTGTTTGACTTTAAGGGGTTAAATAAAAGATTTTTGCCACAGCCTTTCAAGTTTATATTCCCATGGCAGATCTGAGCTACCTCCATTTATTTCAGGTTGTCTTTGTTATTTATTGGTCATTAACTTTCGGATTATTTTTGCACATTCGTTTTGGCAGTTGGAACCAAACAGTAAGCATGCTACTTTTTTGTTATTACCTTTAGACTACTAAAGGGGAGTGTTGGTCTAGTGGTTAGAGCAGTGAGCTTGTGCTCTGAGAAGATTGCAAGTACCCGGTGTGCAAGTACCACAGCCTCCACTCTGGGTTCCTGAGCAAAACCCTTAACCCCACCTCCCCGGGTGCCACCCATTGGCAGCCCACTGCTCCCCAAGGGGATGGGTCAAATGCAGAGAGTAAATTTCCCCATTGTGGGACAATAAATGTACATAAACTGCACTGTCAGAGCTGCAATGAGATCATTTTACTGTTGGTTGTATTGGCAGAAATATGTGTACTAAAATAAAATATTACTCAATGCCCCATATAGGGCTGAGTGGGCCTCAGTGAAAGACTTAAATATCAAACAAAGATTTGCAATTTGCAATTATGGACTAGCACGTCTCATTTCAGACGTAATGGTGCGAAAAATTCCTCTATAAACCCACCTGACAATAAAATGACTGACCAGACCTTACATGACTGACCAAATCCTATTTATACCCCAACACATGGCAGATTTTAACATGATGGTGAGCCATTTAAACACGACACCAATAGCAAAGCAGACAGAGGTGCTTTTAATTACTATGTTAATAACTGTATAGTTCATTAGACGGTTGGTAAATAATACTCTCCTATGATATTTTTCAAACCGCAATAAAGATCTTAAAAGAACAATGTATTTGAGTATTTTATTTTTTACACTACAACTTGGAATTATGGGTAATCCAGAGTGTAGATTAAAACCATGTGTGTTAGTGATAATGTTGCCTACGGGCCTACGGGCATATTGTTGTGTCGTTACGCCATTGCTGCAGATCACAACCTGTCAGTTATTTATTATTTTTTATCCAATCCAAAACTTTATTGAAAAGTTGCAAATTACAAAACACTGACAAAAAATATCACAAGATATAAGACAGTATCTCCAAAATATGTGTTCGATGATGGAGTACAATTAGAATTAAGATATGACTTGATAACTTAAATAAATAACAGACGAGATTTAAACTAAAAAAAAGGGGGGGGCAAGATATTTTGCATTTCTCCAAATATTTCCTGAATTACGTTAACAGTGTGTATACATTTTTTTATTGTTGATTCTTTGGATACAATTGAAGTAATTTTTTTAATCATTTTCAAACACAAGGAAAAAAAGATCCACCTTTAGAAAATTTGGTTTTGTGTATGTGGAATTTTGCAATTAGAATAATCAAGTTAACCAAGAGTTGCATTTTCCTATCATTATTAGTATAGTGTAAGATAATATCTTTGGCTTGTTTTTTAATGGTGTGTTGGCACAACCTGTGAATTGTTTCCAATCTATCTTTTTTTTATTTTTATTTATTTATTTTTTTTTTATCCAAAACTTAATTGAAAAGTTGCAAATTACAAAACATTGACAAACATTTTTGCAAGATATAGAACAGTATCTCCAAAATAAGTGTTCAGTGGAGTACATTTAGAATGAAGATATAACATACTTTAACTTTAATAAACAACAGAAGAGATTTAAACACAACAAAATACAAAATACCCCAAAAAACTAAAAAGCAGAAAAAAAGGCAAGACATATTACAAACAGGGGCGGATTTATTGATATAATTAATAAGTATTTCGTGCACACGTTATACTTGTAGCGAGGCCGCGAAATACTACTTCGTGCGCACGAAATACTACTTCGTGGCCACAATTAAACATTGTTTTTGACCATGTCATCAGAGGGGCTCCGTAGTATTGTTACGTTGATGACTTATAAAGTTTACACCATTAATAAAGAGGGTAAGGTCAACTCTATCTGCCTCTTGCCTTTTAAAATGGTCTTTAAGTAATTGGAGAATACCACCGGGAATAGCATTTATCACCATTTGAAATTCCTTATAGGTAATAGGAAAGATTTTGGATTTAAGAAATTCTTCATAACTAAAAATTTCACCTTCATTGTTTTGTAAATCCTTAAAATAGATTATTCCTTTGTCAATCCATTGTTTCAGAAATAAAGATTTGTTTTTCCTAGTTATTTATTGGTTGTTTTAGATACTAGTTCTGTGCGGGGAGAAATTATGGACAAAGCTACATTTTGCTGCTGATAAAGATTGTTGGTGAAATTTAGACAATTTTAGTGGTAATTTTGAAACCTCATAATCACAATTTAGAAGAATGGTTAAGCCTCCGATTTTTCTAAAAATAATCTGTGGTATGAAGTAGATTCTGGCATTATTTTATCCATTTTATCTTAAAGGTATGGTTCATATTCATATAGTATAACAAGTCGATGCCACCATTATTTCTCGGGGCGACTGCTTCCAATCTATCATTTCGGGTGACGTGCGCGACGTGACGTAGGGGATGTTTGGGGCTCTTTAAACCCTGCCGCTCACCGCGGCTTTTAAAGACTGCCGCTCACCGCGCGCTACACTCTGCTTCATCGTGATTGGCTGAGAGCAGACCCGGTGGGCACGTCCCTATTGCGTCATGCCAAAAAAGGGAGAGAGATGAAAGCTTACCGAGAGAGAGAGCTTAATTAGAAGGCAGGCGCAGCAGCTATATCCGCCAGTTGGAGACGGACGTTACCAGCTGCTAGCTACTTTAGCCGCAGTAGACAGTTAGCATCTAGCTGCCAGAGTACTAGTTCCTTTAGTGACACATAAGGGTGTGAGCAAGGAGAGTCAGAGTGACAGTGAGAGAGTCCAGGCTGTGAGCGCCAGCTCGGCCGTCCCAAACTGACTCTTAGTGATTGTGTGAAGCTGCGAGAGCCTCAAAGAGAGACATAGAGAGAGTTTGTGTACACACAAGCCCACATATCTGCCTCTGTTTATCTCAAAGCAGCGTGTCTGCGAAGGTGTTCATTAGCAAGAGAGGAAGCAGACCTATAAAGCCTGTTTACAATTGGTGTCCAGTTACTTGGCAGCGGATCTACATCGCTTACTGATAACCGACCAGCAGCAGCAGCATGTGAGTACCAAGGGGGGGATTGAGTGCGTTTATGAATGAGTAGTCTGCGTTTGGTCTGGCTGCACCAAGCATTGTGACTGTCAGCGTTGGAGCAGACCTCGTTACTACACAGCTGTTACTTGGGGACATGTGCAACTCTGGAGTCCTCCTTCACCAAAGAAACAGGGTTTAAAACCTGTCCCAGTTGTAAAAAGTTTTAAATTCATTGTCTTTGCCATCTTTTTGCATTCATGATCTAAGTAAATAATCAATAAACAAATTAATAAAGTTGTTAAACTCCCTTGTTATGCAATAAATTAAGCTATCACACATAAAGTTATAAGGCAGTAAGAAAATAAGGTAAGAAAAAAAATTGCAACAAAATATTGGGGCTAATTTATTTTATTATTAAAGTTTATTTGCAATTATTGGTACCACTGGTAAATATGGGTAGAAAAAAGACTAATATTACATTGTAACTGCATAGTTTTACATTAATAACATAATAAATAAATGCAACTTTCATTAGATGCGGTCTCCGCCAAGTGACGTCAATAAGGCTCGGGCACATGACGTCACACGTTGCGCGGCAGACATATTGATAGCTGGTCAGCCCACTGTTTACACTTTGACTTCGCGCCTGTAAGGACTAGCTTTCTTCTGCTAGTAGTTTGCTTAGTTTTTTGCCGTTTCATTTTACCTCTGCTGTCGTTATGGTCGCCCGTTGCTGTGTCGTAGGGTGTAGTAGCGCAAGCTGTGACTGGACGGGGAAAAAAATCTCAAATGGATTGTCTTTTTACCGTTTTCCAACCTGGAGGCGTCTCAATGGAAAACAAATGTCCTCCATAACAAAGAGTCGCCGGCTAGCATGGGTCGCTGCTGTAAGACGGCCAAATATAACTTTCAACTCAATCCCTGCGTCCATGAGAGTGTGTTCCCGGCATTTTCATTCTGGTAAGTTACAGAACATACTTTTTTATTCATCTATCTCCGCCCCTGCGTGGTAGTACCATGCTAGGACAGTCATATATCATCAGAATTTAACTACATTATCCCTGGACACGTACAGTCAGCACAAGATTTATTTAGATAAATTTTTGATGTTTTACGTTAGTGCCAGCACCTAGTCTTATCACCACAACAAACACCACACCATGTTGAGACGGTAGCTTACCTTGGCTCTGATGACTGTGTTCTCATTCGGCTTGATAACTTCCATGTCATGAACTTTTCCATCTGTCAGCTGTTTGTAAGCCTCTAGCGACTTGTAGCAGCGAAACTCTTCATGTGTGTAGGCACTGACGCCACACACTAGATACGAAAATACGTCCTCCCTCGCAAACGGCGGTAGAAATTCTTCCCCAACGCACCACTCCTTGCTTTCTACTTCGTAGGGATCAAGTCCGTTTATGAAGCCCATCTTTTGCAGCTAACGGTCCCTGGCTTCCCTCTGCAGTGTGTCTCGGTATATTCCGCATCCTTTCTTCGCTTTTAACATAGCTGTTTACTCGTCTTTCTGCTCTGTCTCTATGCTGTTTTAGGTCTTTGTTTACCGTAGCAACTAGCTACCAACTAGCTACCAATATGGCGGCGTACCCAGAATGCAACGCGCTGTGCCCGAGCCTTATTGTTTACCTCGGGCGCGGTACACTATGCCTTTTCCACCTAAAATGGCGTCTTAGCAACAAATGTCACGTGACTGGCGGAGACCGATTTTCCTAAATCCTCCCCTGTTTTCAGGCTTATGTTAACTGTAATGACTTATCTTGGACAGGCTGCTATGTAAACAGGCCTTTAGTCCTTCGTTTAGCTATGCTGCGGTTGTTTACACTACACCTTTTCCACCTAAAATGGCGTCTTAGCAACAAAGGTCACGTGACTGGCGGAGACCGTATCGGCCAGGCAATAACCAATGTACACTGAGGGGTGGCCGAAAGCGGATTGACACCAGAACCCCGCGGTCAATCTAAACTGTTCCAACAGGAAAATTAATTAGCAAAACATTCATATTTTCTAAATAAAGACTAACTATACTTTTCCAAAGCCTTTGCTATCAAATAGATGCAAACATCAGTAATTTCTAGATCAAAGGTATGGTGGATAAACTCTTTCAGTTTTGAGTTCTGGGGTGTAAATCTTTAACATTGTCATTACTTACCTACTTGTATCAATAAGCATTCTGTGTAAAGCTGATATTTACAAGTTCTAAGATTTACATAAATTGATTATTTGATATTTGTTTTTATTGTTATTTATCTTTGATTTCACTGAAGACTCCTACATTACTTGCAGAGATGCACACTTTTCTCTTTACCTAATAAAACACAAAATCTAGCTCTGAAAAGAACAGGAATTCTGTACTTATCATCTTTGATGTTAGTATATTGATGTGCAAAATTAACCATAAAAAGTTAAAATGTTTTGAATATTCCACTTGAGAGTATTACTGCTGCCACTAGTCTGTATTAGAGGGAAAAAAATGGTATGGGTGGCCAATGATTGGCGAAGGCTGGCCATGGCCACCCCTGGCCTTCCATCTAGCTCTGCCCCTGGTCCAGGGTTCCTGCAGACCCTTAAAAAGTCTTAAAATATAAGATCAAGGCCTTAATTTGTATTAAAATGTCTTAAAGTCTTACCTAGGTCTTAAAATTGTTACCACATCATAAATAGGATTTTATTTTTGTTATCCATTTCAATAATTGACAATATTTTTCTTACATTTACCAAACCGCTCGCTGTAATCATTATTGGTTCCGTCCCGATAGTGGAACCAATAAAAAAGATGTTGCAGCCGGACCTTGGGGTGATGTGCCAGTAACTTTTTATCTGGACAACATGGGGAAGTTTAAATTCAACAAAAAATAAGCTATCCAAGAGTTTTCTGCATGGCTAAAACCACTACCAGGGAATGTAGATGAAGCATGATGGGAATCAAAGCAGTGGAGACACATGTGCGAAGCCGGAAACTCAAAGTGTCAAAATGAAGTAATGGAGAAGCAGCAGGTATTTATCTTCCCGTAAAAATTCAAAAAATATCCACTGGACTTGGTTTTCAAGATTTGAAGACGTTTCGCCACCTCTCCAAATGACATTTGAATTCCTGGAGAGCTTCCTGGAGAGGTGGCGAAACGTCTTCAAATCTTGAAAACCAAGTCCAGTGGATATTTTTTGAATTTTTACGGAATGACTATGACCTGGATGACTGAGAACCTTCATCAGCATACAGGTATTTCTCTGTTCTGACCCTTGTCTCTGCAACGCCTCCACAGCATATCTCTCATCACCAACAACGTCTGTAGAACCAAATCTCAGGATAACGATTGGCGGTACGCCAACTATGAAAGTAGAGGGATTGATTAGGTAACAAAACAAAGTTGGTGAATTCAGGTTATTAGTTGTTACAAATATATCTGTTATTTGTTTGTTTTTAGCTTTCTTCCAATATGGAAAGTTTTTCAAAATTTCAAACACATCCACTGGGCCGTAAAGTAATTGTTTATACTAAAGTAAACATTTGGGGTACATTTGTTGCTACCAGGTTTTTCTTCTGTTTATTAAAAAGTTGGTCTTAAATTTTTATTTTAAGCGGCATTAAAAAGTCTAGAATTTAACTTGCCTTACGCTGTAGGAACCCCGATGTTGTGGCATATAGGCCGATTCCTCTTCAAAAAGGAAAGAGCAGACGTCAGCCATTCAAGTAACAAGCACTGTAGTGCAATACTATGCATAACATTTTAATGTTTTCACATTTTGCCATGTTACAACCGTAAATTTCATAGGTTACTTTTAACATGTCAAACTTTGACACAACTAGAATTGTGATGATTAAGGCTGAACAACTTCAATTTATCTTGGTATCATGCACAGTGAGGAGGATGGGATGGGACGTAAGATTATCAAACCTCACTGTCGGAGAACTTTAAGGAAGAAAAAATAAAGATTTCATTGATAAATCACATCCCTTTAATAATGCCCCACATGCTAGGTGTTGGCTTTAGTGTGAAACTGAGAATGAGTGGGGAAAAAAAAAGTACCCCATGCGCTTTGCTATGTTAAGTGCTGTTGAAAATATGTGATGCTGTGGTCCTCTTTCTCCTCTGCAGCCTTTTGCAGCCTCACAGAGATCATGAACTATTTGAAATACCAGGACATTTTATATAAACATGTGCTGGACTCTGCAGGGACAAAAAAGGGGAGTTTTATCCAACCCAGACCTAGATCCTACAGAAAACCTAAAATGCTAAAGTGACAAGAGGTTCCAGGGGAATTGAAAATCTCCAAACTATTAATTTAAAGGTTTTGGTTAACTCTTTGCCAATCTGCTTTGACTATCTATAGTTTTCTGTGTGCTCACAATATGGCATTGGATGACTTAAATGGCTTTACTCTTTCTTGTCTACAGTGTCTAGCAAAAATACTCTCAATGTGGTTTTATCTGCAATAATAGCAGTATTCAGGCAAGCAAAAATCAAACTCAAACAACTTAAAGTGAGAAAATAACTGTAAAGAAAAAATCCATTTGCAGTTAAACCTGGCAGCTTCTTCTACAAAGAATTTAAAAGATAGGAACTTTTCTGTAAGGCCTTTTTGAGCACTTTGTCAAAATATAAAGAAAAGAAAAGAAAAATAGACTATTTTTTTTACTTTTAAAAATATCTCTTGAATTTTTATTTGTAATTAATGAGTTTAAAAATCACAGGAAAATAACTGAAATATATTATATATATGTAAATAGATATAAGAACTGTTGAGAAAAGGTTTGTAAATATGTAATAAGTCTGTAAATAAAGTCCCTTGATGCTTAGCAGCCAAAAGGTGCTTAACTCTGAGCCAAAATCAATACATGTTTGGACATCAGGGTGTAATGACGTTCTGCCATGTTTACACTGAGTTAAAGTTCATAACCCTTTTTGTCTCCGTCAGTCATACAGCATGGATGTAAGTCTGTCATTGTAATAATTTGGAGTCATTTTGTTGAAATTGTATAAATATTTAATAATCAAAATAAAAAAAAAATTATA